GCACACTCTTCTCTCTATCTAAGGCCTCCACATTATTATTTTAAAGTTTTACATCATCAAAAGAGTAATTACTAGATTTAATGACTTAATAATTCTTTGTATTTTCTACTTATTATCTTATATTAATTACCACATTTTAAAATTTAATTTGTGTTCAACAAGACATTATTTTTCTTTCCATGTAATATCCCTAGATAAAAAACAAAACAAATATTAAAGTATACTCAATAATTTTATCTAATTCATGTCTATTTATATTTTATATTTAGTGAAAGATGAGAAGCTAATATAAAAGTGTGTGAATTTATGAGTTCGAGACAAATAATATTTCAAATAACTTTAACCCAACTACAGTTTGATTCGGATTTTTTCTTGAGAAAAAATGTTATTTGGGCTTTGTTGTATGTGGATACTTTCACAAAATTCATCTAAATTTTACAACATCAAACAAGTGAATTAGTCAGATTTAGTTCAAATACTTTTGAACATTTTTTTCAGCTAATCAATACTTAATATATATCTTTAATTTTGTTAGAATTTTATAAATAATAAATTAACTATATTTATAAGAAACACCACAATGTAAGATAAAATTATATATGAAAAAGAATTATTTTCCAAAGATCAAAATTATATATTGTTTATATTCGATAAAACACACGCTATTTTTTATAGATACAACCAGTAAGATACAAAAAAAAAAAACTAAATCAGTGTAGAAGAATATAATCAAACAGAAGCTCAGCCGCTATCGGCTTGATTTGTTGTGGTCCTCCATAGTAGAAATATGTACTGTTCATTTTTTTGCCACGGTAATAGTCTCGATGTGTTCCTCCTACCTCGAGGTCTTGGAGCAGCTCGAAGTCATTCTCGGACAATGCAATTTAATTTGTAGGTCGCGCATGTATGCAACTTTCCCTAAGCCACTGTCAGGAAAGCTGCCCGATCCCATCTGAGTAGTTTTGTGTCGGCTGAAAGGGTTCTTGTTTACTATCTCGCCGTCCCACTGCACTTGCTCTGCTTAATCAATTTGGAAAGTGAAAAGGAAAGCCAGCCAATATCCGACTAACTCAAGTACGCCGTCAAGGATTACACCGAACTACCAACTCCCAAGTTTTTTATCCTAAATTTGTGTTAATTTATTAGGTAGAAAAATAACATTTTATATAATGAACGGAGAAAAAATCTGACCTTTCATATTTGGATTGTCATTTCAACGTGATCAATTGCACCTTCAATTGCGATTGTATTGCTCGTATATCTGTATCATAATGTTAACGTATTAATTGTTATTCACTTTACTTATTATGCTAGTGAGAATTAAACGAAATAAATATAGATTAATTAAGAGAAATTTTAAGATATGCCATATGTCCTATGCCACTTTGTAAAAATGCCACATTTTTGCAAGTTTTGCAGAAATACCACTTTTTTTTTCATATTCCAAAAATACCTTTTTTAAAAAACTGTCTCAAA